AAAATCGCCTGGGATGTGGAGGGAAGTGGCGGTCATGTTTGTGTCAGAAGACAAATATATAAGGATGGGAAGTCCCTTCTAAAGATGGTATGCTCTAAGTCTACCCATCTTTTGATGCCATAGCGGGGTGTGAAGGTTCTGAATTTGGGCTAGTTGGGCAGCGTGATAGTAATGAGTAAAGTGTGGCAGTCTAAGACCCCCCGTTTTATTTGGAACATAGAGTGTTTGGCGTTTGATTCTTGCCAGTTTGTTGGCCCAGATGAATTTGTCAATGTTTGTCTGTAGCCTTTTAAAATCAGGTGTGGGGATTAGTAAGGCTTGGAAAAGGTATAAGAATCTTGGTAGTAAGTTCATTTTTATAAAAGCTAAGCAGCCTAGCCATGATATTGGCATAGTGTTCCAATTCTGTATATCGTGGAAGGCCTTTTGTATTAGGGGGCTGTCAACAGCTCATATGTTTGGTTGAGATCTGCGGAGAGAGAGGTACCCAGGTATTTAATTGTGGTATTTTAGAGGTTAAATGAGCATTGTTCCTGAAGGGTGATTATAGTCGCCGGGTGTACCTGAATTGGCAGGGCTACTGTCTTGTCAATGTTTAGTTTGTAGCCCGAGACTACAGTGTAGTCTCTAAGTGCGTTGAAAAGTAGAGGCATGGAGTGTGTGGGATTGGTTATGGTTATGAGCAGATTGTCAGCATAAGCTGTGGTTTTGTATTCTTCTCCCCTGATATGTATGCCTTTGATATCTGCGTTCGCTCTGAGGGATTGGAGTAGAGGCTCAAGAGATAGGCCAAACAGGATCGGAGAGAGTGGGCAGCCCTGTTGGGTCCCATTGAATATTTGAAAGGAGGGTGGTTGTGAGTGTGAAAGGAGTAAGTTTGCCGTAGGAGAGGTGTACAGTGATTGTAGAGCATCTAAAAAGGGTTGGGGGAAACCAAATTTCCAGCGAGTGGCAAAAAGAAAGGGCTAAAGTAACCTGTTGAAAGCTTTCTCAGCGTCGAGGGATAGAACCAAGGTGGGGATCCGTCTGAAGTCTGCATGCCAAATTAAGTCATATGTAAGTCTGGTGTTGTCGCTGGCTTGTTTAGAGGGAATAAACCCTACCTGATCTGGGTGTATAAGTTTGGGTAAGAAGGGTTTAAGTCATTCTGTCGTAAGTTTTGTGAATAGTTTAATATACACATTGAGCAAAGAGAAGGGGTGGAAGTGGCTAGGCTCTAAATGAGATTTGTCAGGTTTGGGTAGGAGGCAAATGTTTGCCTGTAACATGTCAGGTGGTAAGGCCTCTCCTTCTACGATTGAATTAAAAAGTTTGCAGATGTGAGGGGTGAGAGTTTGGGCATATGTTTTGTAATAAAGTCCGTAGAACCCGTCTGGTCCCGTGCATTTATTGGGTTTAAGGCAGATTGACTGAAGTGAGGTATTGCTCAATCTGTGTCGCTTGCAGGTTGGGGTCTTGGCAGGTCTGTGGGCGTATAGGGAGGAGAAGTAGTCTTGGAATATTTCTGCTATACGGTGTTTCCTATGTTTGTCCATCTGGGGGTTTTATTTTCTCTATGCATTTGTGGGCAGCTCTACGTTTGAGCTTACGAGCCAGGAGAGTATCTGCTTTATTGGATTTTTCATAGTAGGTTTGTCTGGTCCATTGAAGGGCCTTGGCAGAGTCTGCAGCCATGAATTCTTTGATAGTGTTTTGTCATTGTGAAATCTGTGTGTTTAGTTCTGGAGTAGGGTTTTGTTTGCGTTTGGATTCTAAGGATCGTAATTCAGTCAAGGTGTGTTCGAGAGTCTCTAATTTTTGGTTTTTTTGTGGTGTGAGGCGAGGCTGATCATGGTACCACAGAAAACAGACTTGTGAGCCGCCCAAAGTGTGCCCTGAGAGGAGACCGAGTCTTGGTTTAAGGTAAAATAGTCAGTGATCGCTTGGGAGATAGAGTCCCGTATCTGTGGGTTATGTAGTAGAACTGGGTTGAGGTGCCAAGATCAGGATTGGACTGTGTTTGACAATGTGAGTGTAAGTGAGGTAGAGGTAGACTTAACCATGAGCATAAGGGAGGGAGATATTAGAAACAGGGCTGGGAAAAGAAGGTATAGACACAGGAGGTCGGGTGTTGGGATCTCCAAGCATCTATCAGATGTGATTGCGTTGTGAAGGCTTGGAAGAGTTTACCCCATTTGGCTGTTTTTGGCTGGTTTCCTGCATGTGTTTTGGTTCGGTATCTGTCCACTGCTGGGGCTAATGTGGCATTGTAGTCTCCTCCTACAATCAAGTGATGGGAGGAAAAGAGCAGTAAGTGTGCATGTATGGCATTCCAGAAGGGGCTAGTGTATTTGTGGGAGCCTATTCAGCTGCTATTGTAATATATCGGCCCTGGGTATCCAGGACCATTTGTTCTATGGATAGTGGGCCTGATGTGTGAAGTAGGATCACTACGCCATTTTGCTTACCGCTTGGGGAGTTGGCCAGGAAGTATTGGTTAAAATGGCGGCTCAGGAGAGGGAGCGGTCTATTATGGGTGAAGTGGGTTTCCCGTAAAAGGATTTATGCTCGAGTTCTGTTTGCCCATCGTAGAAATTGGTGGCATTTGGAAGGGTTGTTGAGGCCCTTGAAGTTTATGGAGATGCAAGACAGAGACGACAGCATGATGGGTGGTAAGGGTTCCTTGACGTTAGTTGTGGCTGCGGGATCCGGTCAGTAGGTTATTGGCAGTAGGAAGGCTCAAGGGCAGGAAGAGAGGGGGGCTTTAAAAGGAGAGAGAAGAGAGAAATGGGAGGGGAGAAAAGAAGAAAAGAGAAAAAAGGGGAGAAGGGCGGGTGAGTGGAATACAGACAGGAGGAGAAGAGGGGGTGAGAATGAAGTGGAAAGGAGGGGGGGAGCTGAGAGGCGGTGTAGATGAAAGGAGGAGCCTGGTCTTATATGAAGGTAGCCAGGTATATTGGGGACGGAGTAATTCTGGTCTGTGGCAAGATAGGAATCAAGACCAAATGAAAAGTGTGTCCACGAAGGCTATGTGTGGGGAGAGATAAGAGAGATGGATAAGGTAAAGTTATACTTCGAGGTCCTATCCCTCCCTCCTGAGCTTGCATGTACGCATGGCGATTGATTAACATTTAAGTAAGAACATTCATTTACAGAATCGTCACAGTGGCCGAAACTAATTATAACCAGATAATTTAAGTTAACAGAAGATGAGGCACATCCATGGTGGTTCAATGTTTTATACTCTACACTTTTGTTGCTAAAGTGGGGTCCTGTTCATAAGTGAGAGGGTGTGGGCGTAGTCTAGGGCGGTCAGTCTGGGTGTCACATGGGTGAGTTATTGCTTATCCTATACAACAGAGCATAATGGAGGGATGTTGAGGAGGAGGGGGGATGCAATTAGGGGGACATAGATTTTTAGGGGGTCCTGTCAGTGTGGACAATAGATAGCCTGCAAAATGAGGCTAGTGCTTGTGGAGAGTGATAAACAATTACAGGATAGTAATCAGAGTTGTGCTTTGCAGGCACAGGAATCAGGGGAATGTGCGGTCATTAAGACCTGTCGTAAGCTGGCCTCGTTCATGATGGTATTCCCTATTTACTATTCATTTGGGTTGAGTGTTACAACATGGGTCCCAGAGAGGCCAAGGGCCTGGTAGCAGTGTCTAGTGTTGTGGGGAATATAGGCTGGATGGTTAGTGGGGTCGTTAGCCCTTCCTCTGGCCAGGGAGATGAAATCTCAGGTGGGGTTTGGAGGGGTCCGGGTGTGTATACATTGATCAAAGAAAATCTGTAAAAAATAAAAAAACACAATCTAGTGCAGATTATCCTTATTATAGTAATAATACACATATATGTATATGAAACAGTGTATCATTACTATAATACGTATAATCTGCACTAGATTGTGTTTTTTTTATATTTTACAGATTTTTTTTGATCAATGTATGTTAAGTATATTTTGAGCACAACACTTGTTTATGGTTTTTGGATTATTTTGTCACTTTAGGTGATTGCAGCTTATTTTCACAAGCACTATTTATTTTTTAAGAGCTATTCACTTTTTGGTTATTATATTGTCCGGGTATTTATGTTCGTGACTGAGATTCGTATGAGTGCCCCTTAAATGGAAAGCCACCTAAAGCGTTGTGGGTGGCGTCAAGGTAAGTATGGTATCAGTAGAGACATATATTTGTTAAACTTTTGCGCGGTTTATGTGTGTCATAAGTTCTGTGACGTGAGCAGTGACCATAGCTCACTGCCGTAGGTGTGGTGGACCTTCAGCACATTAAATAAACAAAATACAACAATAAGATAACTCATAAGAAGAACTCCAGGGTATAGCGTTGGTAGGGTTGCGTATCTAGTGAAGGCTGAACCAGGATATATGTTTTCTGGCTACAGGATGTTACCTGGGGTACGTCCCATTAAGGGCAGGTGTGCAATTGCAAAGGGGAGGTATTGGGGGAGTCGGGAAAACCGGGGTTCTAGGCTCCGTTTAGGGAAGGCACCAGCGATGCTCAGAAATAACGAGCTGGGTGTGGTAATACTCTTTTTTTTTTATATATTTACAGCGTACCTAAAACGTTGCACTAACTTTACTTTTTCTACAGGACTTTGCCATGTTCATAACAGAAAAAAGGAAATATAAGAGTCATAACTTAATTTTAGTTATTTCTCTTACCACATATAAACATTTAATATTGCATTTTTAATCTGATAATTAGCCATTTCTTCAAAATCTAACAGACATTTTAATTTGGGAGCAAGCACTTCCTCATCCAGATTGTCTTGCAGTTAGCTCGAAGATAAGACTGGAGCTCTCAGATTTAATATGCTTGGATAATTGTATGCTTATTATACAGATGTTGTCTCTATTTGCAGTTTTAGCTGGGAAAGAGACTTCTCCCTTGACATCATTTAGAAGTGAGTTTGTGGTGGGAGCTAGCCAAGATAGCCACATGGTTCCATGCCACATATATCAAATGTAGAGTCAACAATGTCACAACACATAAATGCCTCAAGCAGTAGGATATTTTGGCCAAGGCCAACAAGCCCTATGGTGGTACATTCATAGCATCGGTTTAGACACATATTGAGAATTCTCCATGTGTTATAGTTCAAAGGAGTCAACTTTCTGTTAAGGATGCCTCTTGTTAATGATGGATGACATCACAGTGGGATTGTCAGGACAAGGGAATCATAAAAACGCAAATACTTCACTGGCATAATATATCATGGTGAAAATAAAAAAAATTGGAAACATTCCATTTTCCTGGAGTATTTACATAAACATAAATATTAAAAGAAATCTAGTGTTATTTACTAAAATGTATTTACTTACTTTACTATTATTTTGGGGTATAACCCATCATCAGCCCTCCACAGCAAAGTATTGTGAAAAACAATACGTGTAACCTATTTCTACAGATTTTACCCCAAATCTTTTTTTGAGAATAGCATTCATTCTCCTACACAAATCTCTTCAGCCATGACATGTAGTTTAACATTTCTCCATTTGAGACTAATGTGACAGATATGTGTTCTAAAATGTAATCTATTATAATATAATGTTAAAAGGAAAGGAAACCTGTATTCCTAACGGTATAGTGTCCCTGTCCATTTCCATAGTAGCCTCCCCTTCCCCCCATATATTAATAAAATCTTAATAAAAGTTTTACTAACCTTTTTCCACCAGCAAGATTCCTTGGCCAAGTCATGTCCTCCTCCCCAATCGTCCAATCCAATGTTTTTTGCAGAGCATGGAGGACCTGATGCAAACATGCAGCAAGCGTTGCATGTGCATCCAAGCTTTCCCTTAGCTCCTTATAGGAAAGAGAGTTTAACTTGGTCAGTGCAGCAGTAGCTCCTCTAGTGGAAGGCAGCTACCATTGGTCGATTTAACCCTGATCTGTAAACATTGCAGTTTCTAAAATGAGATGAAGTGGTCTGAGTTACTTTAGTGTCTCTTTTATGTATCATATATCATTATGGTTTTTACCAAAGCATCCTCCTTATACTCTTGAAAACTCTGTCTAGTTTTTAGGACAGGGGTAGGTAACATTTGGCACTCTAGATGTTTTGGACTATATCTCCCATAATGATCTTATGGCAATAATACTGGCAAACCATCTGGGGAGAAGTCCACAACATCTGGAGTGCAAACGGTTGCCTACCGCTGCTATAGGAGAAGTTCCAACTCCACGGGACAAGAAAATCATCCATCCATCCAACCTTTTAACTCTGCTGATCAAGTTATTGGCTTATAATTATATGGCAGCTTGGAGCAATCACACACTGTAATGGGATGTCAATGGACTAAATAACCAGATTAACAAAATACTGATCATTTTAACTTTATACAAACATCACAAAAGAAAAGCTCATTGGTTCAAATATTAATCTAACTTAAATGATTCTTTGCCATCGCTAATATCCTTAGATGGACACTATAGTCAGCAAAAAACGTTTGCTTAATTCAGCAGTTTTGGTGTATAGATCATGACCCTGCAGTCTCACTGCTCAATTTCTGCCATTTAGAAGTTAAATCATTTTGTTCATGCAGCCCTAGTCACTTCTGTCTGCATGTGACATGCACAGACTTTCTAAACACTTCCTGTAAAGGGTTATCTAATGTTTACACTTCCTTTATTGCTAATTATGTTTGATTTACCATTTCCTATCTCCTGCTCTGTTATTAGCTTCCTAGACCCTACAGGAGCCTCCTATATCTAATTGAAGTTCAATTTACAGAGCAGGAGATAAAAACTTTTAACCCCTTAAGGACACATGACATGTGTGACATGTCACGATTCCATTTTATTGCAGAAGTTTGGTCCTTAAGGGGTTAAAGTAAGTTAACACCTGACTAAAAATCAAAGTGTGACTGTGTGAGTCACTGCCGTAGGTGGTATGGCTAGAGCTTCATAAACAGAAACAAATGTGATTTAACTCCTAAATATCAGATAATTAAGCAGTGACGCCTCAGAGGCATGATCAATACATTAAAACTGCTTGATTGAGCCAAAGTTGTTTTGGTGACTATAGTGTCTCTTTAATGATGCTATTGAACATACTAAAAACTATTTACTGTTACAGAATACATCATGTTATGCACAGAATGTTCCATGGTATATCACAAATTAAACCATACCTGATACTCTTAGCTGGTTATTCACTAAAGTGAGAACTATTGGGCCTTTCTGGCCTTAAATTTGCTTTAAATTAACTTTGAATTCCAGCAAATATCACATTAGTGAATAGCCCTATTAGTGAATATTTTGTAACAATGGAAGACTACCAAGAATATAATTGGTTCCTAAATTCAATTTAGGGAAGATAAACTATGAAATGTAAAAATATTTTGACTTATACCGCTTCCAATATTTAGCAATATTAATCAGACCGTCAGCATTTACTAATCTGGTCTCAAGCAAAATAACTTATTATGACTAAATGATTGTACACTTAGTAATGTTCAGCAACAGTTCTTTAGAGCACCAGTTTTTAACATGATCACTTTGTACTGAATACTTCAAAATCTTAAAGAAAGCCTTTACTCCCAGTCTCACATCCCTTTTAAGTAAGATTGACCAGGATCATGAATGTAATAGTTCCCACAAACAAACAAAAAACATTCCTTTAAAGGGGAACTCAACTACCCAAATTCAAAAAATAAAACGCACTGTTTAGATTGTTTAGTGAAATGCAGTAAATATCTTTAGTAGTGATGGTAATTCTCCTTATTTATTTGGGCTTGTATTGGGTATAATTACAATAATCCCAAAGACAAACAGTGATTTGAAGAGTGGAAAAAAGGGGAAGATAAGAGGAAACTTTGATGGAGGAGAAGATTTGTCAAACTCTGTGTCTACATTTTATTTCAAAAATATAATATCAACAGCTTTTATATCAACAGAGACCAAAAGTGTCTACTGATGTCTTCTTAAATAGCTTCACTATAAATGCATGCCGCTATTGAAGATCTGAAAGTTTTGCATTAGATATGCAATATATACATCTTCTGTAGGTATTATGGTATTGGCTGTCCAATCAGAGATTTCCCTATGCAGCTCAATGATAAATCTTTGCAAGGTAGGTGCTCTGGGCAATTCATGCCTCTTGAGTTTAGCTTCACTGAGCTAACAAAACCAGGAAGTAACCAAACTATCTGTTTGATTGACAGGCAGAGGGGAGGAGGGGTGGTGTAACCAGGTAGGTTATTTTATAAAAGTGTGGATTTCTGTTGATGTCTGTACTTTTTGGCGACACCCTTAGTGGGTAGACTCACTTAAGGTGTGTCAGCCTGGCGTCGAGCATTCCATGATGACAGACATCCTCCCTGCTAGCACCCTACATACAAAACCATGCAGAGAGTTATGCTGAAGTGTTCTCTGCATGATCCTAGTGCCTGCTCCATAGCACAAGAGCATCTAACATGCTGTGATGCCCGAGGACAGTTCCCTGGGGATGGTGGAACAAGGCTCTAAAATCAGAGCTAGCTCTATGGGGAATGTTCAGCATCTCCATGCAGAGTATAGAGGCTCTGAACGCCAGTGCTGCACACTGTGCAGCACTGGACTAGGAAACACCCCTAGTGGCCGTCTGAGTGACTGCCATTAGAGGTGGTACAAGGTACCAATGTAAATACTGCTTTTTTTCTGAAACAGTGCTCAGCATACGGGGACATGCTATAGACACCAGAACCACTACATTAAGCTATGTAGTGGGTCTGGTGATTAAAGTGTCCATTTTCTATCTTTTTTGTGGATATCATTGTAATGGCATCTGCATATTTATGAGGCTCCATCATGCTCTAATGTAGAACTGTGTGTTTTCACCACATAGGTCAGGCTGTAGACGTATATGTCTGGTTAATTCTGAAAGAGGTTTAATACAATCCCGTGGGGTTCATGTTACTTTAGTGGCTGACACATATTTTATCATTAATGTTCGTTACTTGGGCGTGGATCTGCATTAGGGCAAGATTTTTGTACATCTGGTGATCATTTTATGGTCTTGAATGTTTTAGGCAAGAGAATGATCTAACACAATGATCGCAACACTTTTACTACTGGGCTGGCTGAGCATCATGGGAAATACAATTAAAGTGCTAAGGTCACCATTACTGGTTTACAGTATAATGATGCTATGCCAAAAACTGACATATAGACATTACTTTGTGGCTCACACCGGGCTAGCATGAGACCAATATTCACACTAGTACGTACAGAGCAGAATACAGTGACAGTGCTGCAAGGAAGCAGATTAAAAATAAACATTACTACAAATTCAATCCCTGGCAAATGTAAGGACAAAAAAATGTTTTTTCAGAGGCCAGAAAAAGCAGAAAGTTCCATATTAAAGGGCTGTGTAAGTGACCTGCCCTGCAAGCTTCTCCTCTGGGTTTTCCACCTTATAGCATGAAAGAAGCTAAATTAGCAAAACAGAAGTAAACTGTTGACTGTTTCATTGCAGGATTAAGTGTGATAAATGGGGGTTTTGTTCTGCCTCTGTCCAGATGTTGTGTCTATGCCGCTGTGTTTTTTCTTTTACATTCTTGGCGTGGAGCCCGTATATATTTTGGATACTGAGGGGAGAATATAATACCGCTGGAAAATGATGCGGTCTGGTTACCTTTTAAATAACATTTCCTCCCTCCTCGATTTTCTAATAGTTTGTTTTTCTTTCCATGTTTTCCTTTTATTGGGGATTTTTTTTTTTTGGGGGGGGGAGGGGGAATTATTAACACTGCCAAGGATTCAACCAGAAAAAGTGTACTTATTTTAATTCAGTGAGCTGCGAAGAAAAATAGTCTCATTTATACACACATATAGCATTTTATATACAGGTATATGCGGATAATATATATATATTAGTGGATCTATATATATAGATAGAAAAATATATACAGGGTCACAAATTTTTTCTTGCCGTTAGCCATTAATAAATGAAAGTTTGGCCCTGGCAAAGTTTGCCGCTAGCCACCAACACGTGAAAGTACTTGCCCTAGGAAAGCAAAAATTCAACAATGCTGAGTGTGCAATGGATTATTAGTTTAAATAATATATGTATGGTTTAATCGATACATAATATATATATATATACTAAGTGAATATTTTAATCTGTATTGAGATATATATATATATATATATATATCTGCACAAGGAAATAACTAAAAACTTTGCATAATACACAGATGGTTCCTGGTTAGGTTTTGTACCTTTGACCGACATTTTATGTAATTGCAGCTTTAGAGATGCACCCATCGTTTTCGTAGGAAATACCTGTAGTTTCTGGCCTCCACTGTTAAAAACACTGAAAAAACGCTACGGCATAGAGAAAGAATTCAGACCTCCCAATCTTAGAAAAACAAACAAAGGAAAGATTGTCCAGCACAGCCTTTGCTTTCACTGCCATGAAAACCTTCCACTGATCAATGCAGATTTTTTAACCTCTACCTTTCCTGAAATTTGTTTTAAATACTCTCCTTGTAGACTTAAGCCATAGATTATATTACCACAGTGCACAACTACATGTTTTGTTTTTACAAATATTAAGCCAAAACAGTTTGGAAATCAATAAAGTTAAAATTCGGCTCAATTGGCATTTTTTCTGGTTCCTGGCTATCTTGTGAAAAAATGTGATTCAATTATCACAGCACCACAAATTAATGTTTAATAAATAGTGGGACAACTAATATTGCCAGTAAGGCTACCAACATTGGGCTGGGCCAGTCTGTGATTCCAGAAGCATCACTGGTGACATCATGGGGGTGGACTTGCGTGGAAAAGTGGTGGGTTCTACCCAAAAATGGTAGAATGTGCATGCTTTGTTGGCTACCGACAGCCATTCTGGATAGGCTCATTTAGAAGTGCCAAAAACAGGACTGTGAGTGAGGCAGGGCCCCAAAATTAGGACTGTTCCACTGACTGTGGAATTGTTGGGTTGTAAGGCATTTCACGACATATTATTTTGTGAAAAAACACATTGGCATATTTCATAACACTGCATATTTCTGAATAGTCAATTAAAATAGAAAGGACAGTTGCTGTTTTGCAAGACACAAAAGGGTTTATTACTTAACAGATAACTGTAGAAAATGAAAAACAATATTTATACCAAAATAGTTCATTTGAAAAAGAATCTCCAAGCCAGTTATAGTTACACTTTGTAATTTTTGTCTGACTTTTTTTGTTTGATTTTCAAGTTGTTGTTTAGTAAAGCCCAAACTCTAAAGGGAGCAGGCGCACAGAGTGCTATAAGGTTAAAAAAAAATAAAGACAGACAAACCAACCAGCTTAGTTTAAATCTATCCCTACGTAGATATAAGAATGGAATGGAAGTTTCAATTATTTTTTTCCACTTGATACACATAGTTAGTCCACCCCAGTTATAAATAAATAGTCAATTGATACAGAGTGAGAAACATGGGCTCATCTGTAATTTAAACATTAATGGTAAGGGGGTCCTCAGGAATGAGGGTAGAAGGAGTTGATAAAATCCTGAAAATATTAAAATATAATGTTGTACACGTTATCTAACTAAAACCAGAAATAGCTGTTATAAAGCATTACAGTTATATTGTAATCTGTATGCAATGAGATCATTAAAGCACCTGCGAAGTTGGTCACAGTTAAGTCTCGGAAAGGGGAGGGGATCATTAAAGTAATGAGAGTAACGTTCTAGAACATATGTTCTTATTTCTAAAATAAACGTATTCGATAAGTGAGACAATTAGAGCTACACAACTGCAATACATAATTGGATCAATGTAATGTCATATGTTTTTAATAAGAAAACTCAGTAAAGTATAGATTAACCGTGGCAGCTGTGGAGGTTTAGAGGTTTTGGGGTGCTAAACTCCACTGATAGAATATGAATCCACCCTGTAATGCTGTTACCCAACGACAGATCTCGAAGACAGGTCTACTTCTTTGATGCAAAACCAATGGGTAAGTCAGAAATGCTGGCGAGCCTCATGACAGGCCCAATTTTGAACACACATTTGTTATACATCATTAGCGCGCCAATGTATTATTTTATTGGAGCAAAAAAAGGGGGGAAGGGGTTCTTGCCCAAATGCCCTTGTGGACCAGCCTTTACTGTAGATTATGCATCACTAACTTAACATCATTATCTAGTGTTGCAGTATTCATGATGGGGACAGGTACTACAAAAGACTATAATCAGATCATTTAAAAGGTTGCACAGAGAGTCATATATAAAACTTTATATTTAAAATTTCCAATTTTATAAAGAATGGTGAAATAAACAACTGGTGGGAAAAAAATCTGCAAATAGACAATTTGTTGCAGGAGAAAGCCGCAGAAGCCACACACAGAGAAATGGAACAGGTTCGTTGAGGAAGAAAAAGGTCTTTATTGTTACCAATCGGGTCTCAGATGGACTCCTGTTCTAAAAATGTCTGAGCTCAGAGCATAGTTTGCAAAGGCTTTTTATTAACAATAACTCCTCCCATTCATAGCTCCACTCACACATACCCTTAGACCAATCAGTGAACAGGATATTCAGGATCACCTCATATGGGCAGACTGCATGACTCCTTTTAAGGACAAAGGAATGTGACTACAGTTGATGCACACACTCAGTACATTGATGACAGTATCTTAGCTACATGTAACTAACAGATACAACAAACACCTGTACTTGTATATGCCACCTGGAGATTTCATGCCTACTAAATTTTGAACCATGTTGAAATCCCATCACAAATTCACTTAAAGAGACAATATAGTCACCAAAACATCTTTAGCTTAATTAAGCAGTTTTGTGTATAGATTGTGCCCCTGCAGTCTCACTACTCAATTCTCTGTGATTTGGGAGTTAAATCACTTTGTTTATACAGCCATAGTCACACCTCCTTGTGTGTGACTTGCAAAGGCTTCCTAAGCACTTCCTGTTTAGAGCCATCTAATGTTTATACTTCCTTTATTGCGAATTCTGTTTAATTTAGAATGTCGTATCTTCTGCTCTGTTAATAGTTTGCAGGAGATAAAAACTTTTAAAGTAAGTTAATATGTGATTAAAAATGAAATCGTTTTGTTTTCATGCAGGCTGTCACTGCCGGGGGAGGTATGGCTAGGGCAAAAAATGAATCAAAAGTTATTTAATTCCTAAATGGCAGAGAATTGAGCAGAGAGACTTCAGAGGCATGATGTTCACACCAAAACTGCTAATTAAGCTAAAGTTGTTTTAGTATTGCAGTGTCCCTTTAAGTGAAACTGCTTTCAAAATATATATATTTCAGTTGACAAAATAGAAGTATTTCTAGACAAATATAGCCACGTCTCATGTCTCAGTGTGGTAGGACAGTAAAAAATGGATCAGTAGTCCTTAATTCCATAATTGAGGACTACTGATCCATATTTTTAATATGGAATGATGTGCCAACATGGTATCATATCATTAGTAGCTCTCCTCTCTTGCCCTAATCATGTTTTAAAACGAATGCCCAGGCCGCGAATAACAAAAGTTATATTTATCTCTCCCCAAAGTCAAATGCCAGGGTGATGCCCAATATTTATAGTACAATGGCAAATACATTAAAAATATCCCTGCCTTCCCCTATATCTCTAACTGTGGTATAGATTGGTGTAGAGTGATTTTTCCTTTGGTTTTTCTATAAAACAAATCTCTGTATATTTTATATATAAGACAGTCTCATAGCTCAAAATTGGTTCAGTTCCTACAGTGATTTCTTATATTTTTTTACTGTTCAGTTTTATTTCTCTTACTAAACATCTAAAAAGATCTCCCTGACAATGCTGCAGTCCCAGTTTTGTACCCAAATCCCTCTGTCTTTCTTTTCTTATGCCCCTTATTTCTAGAAGGTCCATATTGTTGTTGTTGTGCCTGAGTGCTTAACAGAGCTTCACAGCAATAATACTCACAGTAATGTGTCTTTAAACTACAATAAATGGGTTTAGAAATCAGACTGTGTAAATAAGCTAAATTGTTCTTGTTCTAAACTACATTTTAACTGCATACATTGTTATTAGCAATTTACCCAAACATTCTCCAAACAGCCCCGCCCTTGGCCACACTCACAATGTTAAAATTAAACTGTCTCACTTTATCCATATGAAATGTTGGAAGTTAGGCTAATTCATCATTCCTTCCTCCCACCCCCTATGTTCTTCACCCCAACAAAGTTTTGCATCTGACCTTTGTTATCCCTTTTGCCCCCTTCAGGACAACTCTAGGCTTTCCTCATTCTTACAGCTCATTAGATTTTATGCTAGTCTCCAGTCCATTAAATGAACACTCCAGACTCCTAAAGCAATTCAGCTTACCTACAGCTTACTTACAACAAAGTGAAATCTCAATCAGACAGATGGTCCTGTTACATCTGGGTAGTTTAGCTTAGTGGAACTAAACTCAAGGGGCAGGCAATCATCCAAAGCATCTGCCTTGCAAACACTTCTCATTGAGCTTGATTGGGAAGTCTTTGATTGGACAGTCATAGAAAGTCTGGGCAGAGTTAGAAGGGGAGGGCTTGCAAATGCAGCAGACAAGAGAACTGCAGCTTTTAGCAAGCTGTTTTTAGGTATATCCAGAGCCAGCGCTCCCTATAGGCAAACTAGGCGGCCGCCTAGGGCGTTGCTTAAGGGGGGGGGGTCTGCCGGCCCTGACAAGTTAGATTTTTTTTGAGTTTGCCGTCTGCCATTTTACCGGGCACTCGGAAGCACTTTGTTGCTCACTAGTGCCCAGTAGAACACAGATCTGGTGGCATACAGATCAGCCTGCTCAGCCAGGCCTCCCCCTCCCAGGCATGCATTGCGGAAGCGCACAGGCGCTTCTCTTCCTCAATCCCACCCCTTCCGCTGGACGTGGGGAGAAGTGTGCGGAAGCATAACGTGCAGAAAAAGGGCAGCTAGGCGCAGGGAGTAATAGAAATGAAGGTAAGGTATGTCAGAGAATGTGTGTTAGCATGCTTCATGTATGTATGTTTATGTCAGTGTGTGTGTCTGTATGGGTCAGTGTGTGTCTGTATGGGTCAGTATGTGTGTCTGTATGGGTCAGTGTGTCTGTATGGGTCAGTGTGTCTGTCTGTATGGGTCATTGTGTGTTTTTGTATGGGTCATTGTGTGTGTCTGCATGGGTCTGTGTGCGTCAGTCTACATGGGTTAGTGCGTGTGTGTCAGTTTGCATGTTCAGTGTGTGTCTACTTGGTTCAGTGTGTGTGTTAGTCTGCATGATTGGGTGAAGCTAATGAGGCGGCAAATTTGTTTTTCGCTTAGGGCGCCAAAAATGCTTGCACTGGCCCTGGGTATATCCCAATGAAAAATTAAGTGTGCATTTAAAAAAGCCATGCCAACTAACCAGTTATTTTTTCTGACATTGGCATTACATCTCTGTCCTAACTAGCTATTGTCTTATTATTATTATTATTATTATTATTATTATTATTATTACTTATATAACATCAACATATTAGCCTTCAATTGCCTTGTTTCACATTCTCATCTTCATATGTCATACAATGCTCCTATACTTTCTGAGCTATTCACTAAAGTGTGTATTGTCAGGAAATACAAGTGAATTCCACATTTTAGGCTAAAATCTTCAAACAGGAAACATTATTTACCTCAGCTATGTTTTCAGTGGGAGAATTCTTGCCTACATTTTTAAATTCACTTTGGCATTGTTACCATCAGGTGTCTGAGTAATATCTTAGTACATGATATAAGGAGGGCTCTATTTGTGCTAGGGGAACTCCGATGGTAACATAGGTAATATGTGCTATTTACTCACCATTTTAAATCATTGTTATCACAAAATCAGCATTTTAGTATCTCAAAGATGGTGTCTTTCTGGTATGGGTCATGGTTATTAAAAAAATAACCAAAACTGCATTTCAGCAGAAGATAGATAGCTAGGCCTCTAAAATCACAGGAAAAACTGGCAGTGAGATGAAGTGGTCTGGGTGCATTTAGTTTCTTGTTAAAGAAAAGAGAATTGGGCAAAATCCTGTAGGTCCTCTACAACTATTATCCAATTTGGGAGTTTTTCATCATCAGTAACTTTTTGCGCTCTATCATCAAACCGTTTTTTTAACCGATGAATATACATTTCACTTACACCTTTTAATTTCTATAATGCCCTTCTGTAAGGGACTTTATTGAATGATTTAGCACAACAGTTCATGTCCACTTCAAACCCATGATCTATAGTCGTGCCCCTGTAGAATACAGCCAAGTTATTTTGACATGATTTATCTGTCAAAAAATCTATTTCACTCCTGCTAACAATATTGTTTGAAATGTATTCATGATTATCCCTTAAAAAAGCCTTAAAATAACTTCCCACCACAAATTTCAAGCTAACAGGTCTGTAGTTTCCAGAATAAGATATTGAACTATGTGCCTCACTTCAATCTTTTGGCACCATGCCAGAAAATAATTTCATTGAATATCAAAACTAACAATCTGTTTGATACTAAACTAAGCTCTATAAGTAAACTCCTGTATATATATTTCTGGCCCTGGGACTTTATCTACCTTAACTTTAACTTTGATTACTTTGTTGTTTGTTAGCCAATTACATGTTTGCTGTAAGATTCCTTGAGTGTTTTTTTGTAACATTCATTTGCAATCTTGCAGCCATAATTTCTTCTGGTGATATACAGAGAAATATTATTAAAATTTTGAGTCTTAATCTGATTCTCATTAACTTGCTCATTTCACTTTTAAATTTCCAAAATCTTGTTACGGTTTTGGTAGCAATGTACTTTTCTTTGCTATTATCTAACAGTCCCTAAACTTTACTCTAAAACAAAAAAGTTACATGAACCATAAACAGCTACTAGAAATTTATGAAAATAGATTGGTTTACATCAACAATAATTCCCTGCCACTGTAATTTCCTGTCTGAGAGGCTGATGCCTTTTCCGAATGGACTGATTGGCAACTCTGGAGAATAAGGAGGCTCTGAAAAATAAGAAGAAATGTTTTTTTTATATACAAATTTTAGACCCTTGCTTTAACCCCTTAAGGACACATGACATGTGTGACATGTCATGATTCCCTTTTATTCCAGAAGTTTGGTCCTTAAGGGGTTAAAGATAGAATAAAACGGTCGCTATGGTTTATCTCCTAGTACATGATCAAGGTCCTGGCTTGCAAACTGCTTCTAGTTTTTTGGACATTCCTATCAAATGTAAATGTCTTGCCTCGTTTGCTAAGCCTATATAGTGTTTTTGTTTTTTTAACAGTATTTCTAAAAAGTATTACTTTATTACCCAGTCATTCATTTGTCAATTGCCTTATCTGTGCCTTTCTCTTTAATTTCACTATGAAATACTCTCTCCCTTAATGTATATGTATGGTATATGTATTATTAGCAGGGGTATTTACTAAAATGAGAATTGTCAGTAATTCTAAGTGAAATTTAAATATAAGTCCAAAATAGGTGAACTGGATTGGTTTAAAATTAAAAATTCACTTTGAATTCCCAACAATTCTCGCTTTGGTGAATAACCCTCTTTTAAAAAAATAATTGTTGAAGAGCATACACAGACAACTACACTAATTGTTAGTACTATTCCTGGGTTGTGAGTAGACGTTTCTCTAACTTAGGCCTCAATTTTTTATTTTTGGATACGCTTTCCAATTTTTTTTACCATTTTTGGATAAACTTTTCAAATGATTGCACTCTGTTAGAAAAAGTTTTAAAATAATTATTTACAGACTATGTATGAATATGGGAATATTTGTTGATACATCATTTAAAAAGTTTTTCTAACAGGGTAGCTCAATCTTCCACACCCTCTCTCCATATGGAGACTCTGGAAAGGTATGTGTCTCCATGGTGATTTGGCTCTGCTTCCCTGCTGTAATAGCGGTACTGCGGTCTCCTCGCAGCCGTGGACAGGCCAGGAAGGTCTTCCCCAGTGTGCCGTGGTAGGTGGGCGGAGTCACAGTGATGTCCGGCCTTCTTAGGCTTGCACATGCTGGAAAGGCACTCTCCTAAAGGGGGCAGTAGTAGGGAGGTGTATCAGGAGCTCAGGGATCTTGTGGATGGGGTGTACCATATCTCCCATATATAACAGCCCGTCTTCTCAGTTATACTATGCTTCGTGTGGTGTTTCTCGTTTATGAACCTGTGCTGCCTGACCTGACTTTTGGCTTTCCTGACAAAGTATCTGTTTATTCCCCATCTGTACCTCATTTTTGGTCATTTCCTCCAGCTACCTGCTGCATTATTCGTCTTCTTTCTTCCTAAAAGATTGTGATAATTTGAAAAGCTAATCCAAAACAATTAAATTGTGGCCTTAATCTGTGGTTCATCCTGTTTTATTTTTCAAATGTTTAATTCTATTTCAGCATATACCTTTGCATATACATTTGCCCCATTTATTTTAATGCTACGAGAGCCTGTGATTGGTCCACATGAGTGGCAGGTGACATCCTGGTGGAGTATGGAAGATCAGCACCGGAAGCTTCACCTGGTGCTGAATTAAGGTAAGTTAAGAAACTTTTTTGCAGGCTTTTAGGGTGAAGGAGGAAACCTAATAGGTATACCCCATTATCCCATTGGGCGTTTAGAATGTAAATGAATTATTTTTTAAATGGATTGGAGTAACTCCTTAGGTGTTAAGGAAATCTTTGTATAGCAGTATAAGCAGAGATTGCAATAGGTGCAACTGCCTATTTTGGAAGTTCTACTGATAATGATTTGTAGACAGGTAACATGTAGAACGATTTGCCATCTTTGGTCACATTGAGGAGTCTCAAAAAGTTTTTCAGTTATCAGTTTGGTACAAGGTATCGATGTTGGGTATGAAATCCTAGGTAATTTCATGCGTGAAAATACCCAACAACAAAACAAAAAACTGTAGTCATTAAATGATTCTGACTTTGAAAAAGTAATAGAACTACAACTAATGAAGAAACTCTGTGATGCACAAAACATGTGGAAGTCCTTCAGGCAGGTGTACATGTAACGTATAGATTATGCTTGCATAATCAGCAGCAGATATATAGATTAAACAATATATTTGCTAGATAATCACACCTGACTTTTCCAAGGTGACCTTGGACAAGATGGATTTTTTTTTTTCACCATAAATGCAACGTTCTGACCAAATGAACTTCAATGGCCGTATCATATTTCTGGTGCCTGTGTGCACAAATAAAGTCCTAAGCAATTCCAGGAGAAGAAGGTTCATGGTGGTGGAGATCCACTAATTATTATTATTATTATTAAGCAATGTGCGTTGCCTTTACATTGTTGAATAGATGCATTAGAATGACATGCATGACTTCCTACTACATTAGGGGTGGCACAGGGACCATTTTTGTAATTCTGGGAATTTAGAACTATGATACCAGACGTGTTAATTGAATAGAAGCTGGAATGTTCACCCAATATGACAGATTCTTGATGGCATGTAAGATCTTGGCAGCAAGTCTCCCTTTTTGTTCTTCTTGTGCCCAGAATGTACTAATGCTGATCAGGAGCATGAAACCATAGAAATGCAAAAGCAAATGCGTAAAAGCACATAAATAAATATAGGAGCATTGCAACACAACTTGTTACATAACCACGTCCTCATTCTTCCACCTTAACTGTTAATTGTTGCCAGCAATTCTTCATTCACTCTTCCTACTTTTGTATCAAATGCTCTTAATTCCTTCTCTGCATCTAGATCCTCCATTTTCAAGCACAACAGAGTCATATGAAGGGGGTAAATTATTTGTAATAAGGTCACGCACAGCTGATGCTTGAAGAAAATCAGCCTCCAACATCAGAGGTCAGCAGAATAACAGGTTTTCCTCCCTTGGGCTTTCATATATTTTATATTATATGCAGCATGGGACAGGGAGCAGAATTTGGGAAATAGAAGCAGACCCAGCTGGTTTCGGCAGTAAACACCTCTGCAGCGTGTTCCCAATTTTCTTTTCTTTTTCCCCCCACCTCTTTCTTTTTCTTTCTTTAAGGTAGCCGTGCAGGAGCTTTGCCAAAACCTTGTGGTCCCATGGGGGTGACTCCCCCTCTCTGAGCGCGCCCCAGCGCCTGCCAGCCCAATTAAAGGGACACGAGGGGGAGGTTACAGCTGGAGCTGTCCTGCTTCTCACAGCCAAGTCACAATTGTTTAGTCTGAAAGGCTTTTCAGGGAGAGCTGGCGTTCAGTGGCCTCCACATCTGGATCTGCGGCTAGACGGCCTCTCTCCTTGGCTGCTGTCCCTTGAGCCTGTGCAGTCTATAACCCGGGATCTGCTGACAGGCTGCAGTCAGACAGAGTGTGAGAGCAAAAAGGCTACCCTTCTGACACACACACAGCTTGGATAAATACAGGGAGCTTGGCTTCCCAAATCAGTGGGGCACTTCACCCTCTCCCCTGTCCTTATTAACCTCGGCAACAGCAAAATGGAGTAATGTTTTGAATTAACTCATTCAGGGAGTGCTTAGCTCTGGCACTAAGACAGCTGAACTAGAGAAGTTGCTGGAATTTAGCATATGTTTTTCCTCTTGGTAAAAATGCCCAGTGTATATTATTAATAAACCATAATGACTTATAAGAGTATCTGTGCATTGATATTAATTAGCACATAGGAAGCTTAATGCCTACATCCTTCTTGGTGCTACAGTGTTCTAGGCATTGGCAGGGAGTGTCACTTGTGTTTATTTTTGTCTAATCTTTCTTAATCCATAAATGTTGGCACCAAGTGATCATCTCCGGCCTACCAGGATTGAAACGTGTTTGATTTCTTTGTACAGTCAACCCTGGGATTGTCATTAAGGCAAGCAGAAAGATTAACTCCATGACAGACAGGATGGTTCAGCTATGACATTTTACTTTCTGTTGATAAATGCTGAGCTTTTTGTCTTCCAAGTTCTCAAAATGGACAAATATTACTTTTAAAGTGCAGTGGCACATACACTGATAGCAGCATTTGAGAGATATTGTTGTAGCTAGTTGCATGCCTTGAGCAAACATGCTAGGAATAGACTTAACGGGAAACCAAAACAACTTTAGCTTAATGAAACAGTTTTGGTGTATAGATCATGCCCTTACAGTCTTACTGAATATTTATCTGCCATATAGTAGTTAGTTCACTTTGTTTATACATCCCAAGTCACACCTGCCTACATGTGACCTACACAGCCTTTCTAAACATTTCCTGTAATTGGACCTCTAATGTTCAAAACTTCCTATATAGCACGGCCTGTCTAATTTGGAATTTTGTATCTCCTGTTCTATTAATAGCTTGCAGGATTCTCCTTTATGTAATTAAAGTTCAATTTACAGAGCAGTTGATAAAAACTTATATAGTAGGTTACATCTGATTGAAAATTAAACCATATTTTTTTCATGCAGACTGTGTCAGTTACAGCCAGGGGAGGTGTGGCTAGAACTGCATAGACAGAAACAAGTGATCTACCTACTGGAAACACTAAAGCAGTTTTGATGTACAGATCATGCCCATGTAGTGCCACTGCCCTATACTCTAGCATTTAGGAGTTAATTCACTTTATTTATGCAGCCCCAGCAACACCTCTTTCCATATGACTTGCACAGTCTTCCTAAACACTTCCTGAAAAGAGACATCTAATGTTAATACTTCCTTTTTTGCACAGTCTAATTAATGTATTCTTATTTCCTGCTCTGTTAATAGGCTGATAGACCCAGAAGGAGCCTTCTATGTATGACTACAATTTAACTTACAGATTTAGGAGTAAAGTAAGTTAAGATCTGATAGAAAATAAAACCATTTTATTTCCATGCACGCTGTGTCAGTCACCGCCAGGGGATGTGTGCCTAGGGCAGCATGGAACAAAACAAAAGTGATTTAACTCCTAAATGGCAGAAAATTAAGCAGTGACACTACAGAAGCATGATCTATACTCTAAAACGGCTTAAATAAGCTAAAGTTGTTTTGGTGACTATAAATTTATAAATAAAGAGTGGGACAAATATGTGGTATATTCTAAAAGCTAACAGTCTATTGCTACTATTCAGAGTGAACATGGCTGCTAAATTGGAAAATTCCTTACATTTATCCAAAATTGCAATTCTGATATTCACTAAAGGAACTTTAGAGGCAAGTAAATTAACTTGTGTGCATTAGGTTTGGAGATATTACAAAATATGGACGTTCAATATTTATCAAACACTTTCTGGAGTACTTACTGTTGAAATTACTTCTTGCCTATTTTTCCCGAAATTCCCCAAAAACTGTTGTTTTGGACAAATACATAATATCAACAAAGAAAAACATAAATGGAAAGTTGACTGAATAAAATATATCTAAGGATTGAAATGGCAGATTATAAACCATGTGAAATAATGGTCTAATGTGATTGACTAAATAGCACAAACCCATTATTTTTTAAACTACTGTAACATGAGCGGTTCAGACCCTTGTGTCACAGCTGAAATAAATGTGGTTGACTGGAATAACCTAGCAAATCACATGGAACATACATCTATGAAACACATGTATAAATACTCTATGTCATAGTTGCAATACTGTCTTGAAGCCGCTGATTAAACTGGTTAGATTTATATGTTCCTCTAAATAATAGAGGGGTGTGCAGCAAAGTTCTTTCCACAGCACACCTCCTGATAGCTGCTTAGACAAAAGATTAGAATTTGCATGAGTTCATTGACAACACTGGATTTGATTATATAGTTTAATATTGACCTACATATACGGTATATTGTTTCACACATACACTGATCAGCCACAGCATGAAAACAACCTGCCTAATATGATGTAACCAAAACAGCTCTGATGCATTGAGGCATGGGCTCCACAAGACTTCTAAACATGTCCTGTGGTATCTTGCACATTAGCAGCAGATGATTGGATTTGTTGTTCCACCACACCACACAGATACTCAATCAGATTGAGATATGGGGGAATTAGAGTGCAAGGCAACGCCTTTGTCATGTTCCTCAGAACATTCCTGAACATTTTTTGCAGTCTTGCAAGATGCATTAAAAGAGGCCATTCACAGCAGGAACACTATTGCCATGCAGGAGTGTATGTGGTCTGCAACAAGGTTGGCAGCACATGTCAATGTAACATCCACATGAATGCCAAGACCAAGGGTTTACTAGCAGAACATTGCCCAGAGCATAACACTGCCTCCGCAGGCTTGCCTTCTTCACATTGTACATACTGCTGCCATCTCTTCCCCACATAAACGATACACACGGCCATCCACCGTATCTAAAGGAAAATGTGATTCATAAGACTAGGTAAACTTCTTCCTTTGGTCCAGTTCTGACACACACATTTCCATTGAAGACACTTTTGGTGGTGGACAGGGGTCATCATGGGTGCTCTGACCGGTCTGTGGCTACACAGCTCTATACGCAGCAAACTGTGATGCACTGTGTATTCTGATGCCTTTCTATCATATTTAGTATTACATTTTCACCAATGTGAGCTACAGTAGCTCTTCAACCCCTTGAACTCTTTGTCATGTTCCTCAAACCATTACTGAACATTTTTTGCAGTGTGGCAAGGTGCATTATCCTACTAAAAGAGGCAATTGACAGCAGGGTACACTATTGCCATGTAGGACAGTAACTCTTCAGTGTGATTGAACCAGACCGGCTATCCTTCACTCTCCAGGTGCATCAATGACGCTGGTTCACCTGTTGTCCTTCCTTGCACCACTTTTGGTAGGTGCTGCATACTGGGACCATATCAAAAGACCTGCCGTTATGGAGATGTTCTTACCCAATCATCTAGCCATCACTATTTGGCCGTTGTCATAGTCACTCAGAAATTCCACTTGCCCATTTTTCCTGCCTCTGACACATGAGATTCAAGAAATGACAATTCACTTGCTGCCCAACAAATCTCACTCCTCTACAGGTGCCATTGAAACGATATAATCAATGTTATGCACTTCACCCGTCAGTGGTTTTAATATTATGGCTGATTAATGTGATATGTATTGAGATAAATATATATATATATATATATATATATATATATAAAACAAATAAGGAAAGGGAGGTCTTCAATCACAAAATGAAAAAAATTATTCTTCCGTGTTTCTCTTTCTCTCTTTTTTTGTCTTTATTTTGCTGAGTGCTATCTCTTTAAGCCATATCATTATTATTATTAATTATAATGGCAACTTCTTTATTTGCCTTAGCTGTAATGCAAAAATGTAGATAATTGAGTAACATAATTTATTATGTCCTGGTTCTTTGGCCATAGTATCTTTGATATATTAAGATCGGTTTCGTTCCCTGTTTCTTCGTAGCCCTTTCTATGGAGAGCTATTTCACTTTTATTCACGAATGTAATAATTAACACATCATTGGTTTGTCACTACATGCATGTTCACTGTTCACGTGTTACAATTGTCTCCATATTTTAGGCTACTGTATCTGATTCTTCCATTCTATTACACCCGGGATACTTGCTAGATACACTAGCAGATGCGTATTCTAGTAGTTACAATAGTTTGTTAGGTTGCTCAGCAACCATGTCACTTACGTCACACGCACACGCGGTGTCTTTACTTCCGGGTTCTTCATCCGGTCGGCTGTCTGATCATTTCATTGGTAAGCTTATTTTTACATTTAGGTATATATTGTCGTTATTTATATATGTCACTGTGATCTTGATAAAGACCCCAGGAGGGTCGAAACGTCGATTTTCTGATATGCACAGACCATGATTTTGTAAGAATACATTAAAAAATTTTTTTAATTTTGTGATTGAAGACCTAGTGTGCTCCCTTTCCTTATTTGTTTTATATATTCTACGCAGGATGCACCTAGGCACTTAAGCATTTATTTTGCTTTTAAGAAGGAGGAGTGCCTTGCTATTCTATTTGGATATATATATATATATATATATATATATATATATATACAAAACAAACAATGACCCGGAGGATATCAGAAGCACTTTTCCATGAGAAATAGAAATCAAATAGGAAAATAAGAGTAAAATAGAACAGAGCTATGAAACATTTCTAGAAGAGGATACCACTGGGTAAGTAGAGTAGATTATCATAGGCTGGTAGTGATAGCATATTAAGACAGGCTAGAGAAACATAGTCTCAGGAACCACTAATCTGTAGGAAGGGACTGAGGGTTACCAATGCCAACAGGTGTCGAGTCCCGGTCACTGCCGCTATTGGCAATATTATGGTTGCTTCTTCATCTGATTCAGGACGCCAGACAGTCCCGTAATATTCTCCCCAGGGTGGTAATCAGAGCTCGTTGTAGCAGACCCTGGGTTGCACAGGTTAGATGTCAAGATGTATAGGCCACTTGCTTTGTCAGGCTGTGTTTGGGATGAGTAGTATTACTTCTCCGTAGGTGAGTCAAGTTGTGTCCAATATGGAGGTCAGGGTGGTATCAGATTGCTGGCTTCCGTAATAACTTTGTGCACCTTCTTCTCTGCCGGGTCGCTCTGGGGAAATGCTGAAAACTGTCAGGCAGATGATGGATGGGAATGCTCTGGGGAGCCACGGCTCGCCCCTCAGGAGGAGAGCTAAGTCCCTGATCTCTGAGCTTTTCCCAAAATTGGTGTCAGATGTGATCAAAAGTGAGGAGGAGCTGAGTTACAGGAGTTGGTGAGCATGGGTGTGCAGTTGGGGCCTCTAGTGATGCCAGGACATTTCTGCATGTGCCTTGCTGCACTTTCTGCACTTTCTGATGCCCTGTATTCTGCACTTTCTGGTGCCATGTTTCCTCTCCCACAAATGCGTGTGTCCACCATCTTGGGCAGTACAGGCCCTTCTCTGGGATTTATAAAGGGAATCTGCTGTAGAGGTGAGAACTGTTAAATGCTGTCCAGTGGGGACCAGGATAACTCCGACCAGTCCGGGGGGGCGTAAGAGCACGTAATCGCTGTTCAAATATCGCTGGGAGCGGGGAGATCGGCCGCTTCCCCCCTGCTCCACTGCGTGTAGGCAGCAGATTTGAGCCCCGGGCTCCCGGCGGTCAAGAGTTACGGGCGAGGGTTCCACAGGTTCATCTAGTCTCCCCACAGGTGTTTGGAAATCCGTGGGGTGGATTACTGTAGCGGAGAGATAGTATAATCCACATACACTATATGACCAAATGACCGTTCGGTAGATAGCTGGGGTCTGAGCGCACATTTCGTGCAATTACCGCTCAGATCCCAGCACATCTAGCCACATGCCGCACGAATTATACTTGAACATATACTTTGCCTAAATTGCACGAATACGTTTGTAGGAAGAAAGTACCGAAAGACCGGTACTCCCGAATGGCCTGGAAGTCCAGCAGTATTCGTGCCAACGAGTAGCCGATTTTAGTTCCATGCACTCGACGACAAAATACCACTGGGCTAACAAAGGATCCAAGATGGCCGACCGCAACGTGGTCGGTAGCCGAACGGCGGCCACCCTGAATCATTAATAACTACCAAAAGATACATTGTTGCAATGTTTAATGGGAGCCACACGACCTCCTGTGTGTGGTCTCCCATTCGGTAGTTTGTTCGTTTCACGAACAGTGTTGCAATTCACTGTTTGTGAAACTACTGTATGAATGCTGGTGGTTTTCATGCCGCCAGCATACGAATGCTCTTGTTCGCCTAACATAAAGAATTGGGTATACGCTTGGTTCTAACATCCTTAAAGCTACAGCAACACATTAATGTAAATACAGTCTTAAAGTGGCTAGTTTTGCCACAATTACTGCCCGTCTTCCAGAGTTATCTCTTGGTATACAGCTTATGGTGCAGGAGCTCAAACAGGGTTCGTCTAATCGGCTCGGCGGTCAGGCTCTGCTCCCCAACCCTCCTGGGTCTTTATCAACATCTTGTTAATATATATAGCTTCGTTCATTGTTGACTAGCTGTAGGCACGTGAATATGAAAGTAAAAAAAAATATTCAAGTATTAACTTGTATAATGTAGCAAATTAAAAAATATGTTAATTATTTCATATTCATTCCACAAATGCATAAACATTTCCTCCGCTAAAGTCATAACTGTGCAATTAAAATTCTTTAAGTTGGTTCCTTCCATAGTCACACAGTATATACTTTTATTTGCACATTGTCTTTTGCACATTGCTATGTCACAAACATACTTGGGGCTTGAGCCAAAAGCAAAACCACCCCCTAAGATGTGCCCTTGGCCACATCCTAACTCTGCCCCTTAATTCATGCAAATTTCATGGCCCTTCTTCCATTTTTTGCCAGATATGAATCTAGAAGAACATTGTCACACATTACAAAGCTGCCCACGTATCCACACAATTAGTCAATCACTTGCGAAAACAGACATACATTCAGACATACCCAAGCACACACAAATTACAACTAACTAAGATATAGTTATGTATTTATGTTTTAGGCTACCCTTGAACTATCTAAAGCTGTTCAATCACACTATCTACATACGCACATAGAAGATCTGCCTTTAACACATACATACCTAATATGTTACTCTCACGTAATTAGCCTCTCATACAGCTATTTAGCCATACACATACGTATACAGAAAAAAAAAAAAAAAACATTCTACATGGACATAGTTACATTTATTGGTTGTATTGTTTTGGAAGTACATTCACAAATAGACAAACTCACATGCATTCACAAATAGCCAAACAAAAATTAACATAGGTACACCAAAAGCCAAATACACAAATGTACCTCACTTTAATTAATTCCTCTTACTCCCAGTCAGTGTTAATCTTCTCGAGTAATAATTTGAGCCAGATTTCAGTCGACTAAAATGTTTTAGATTTAGTCGACTAAAACTACAACAATTCAGATGACTAAATTAAGACTAAAACTAAAATGGCATTTTAGTCAAAAGACTATGACTAAAATTAAATTGTAATTTGCCCCCAAAATTAACACTGCATAGAGGGATTGTGGAAAGGGCAAAACAGACCGACCAGGGCTTGGAAAAGAGAGACACCTAAAGGGGCTGAGATGACACAAAGAACCACAGAGGGGCTGGCGAAGGGGCATAAGAGACAGATAAAGGCATTAACTAAACACATTAGATTTTAGTTGTGTCGACTAAAATCTACTGGAGATTTAGTCGACTAACATCTACTGGAGATTTAGTTGACTAAAACTAGACTAAAACTAAAATAATTCAGATAACTAAAATACGATTAAAACCAAAATGGCTTTTAAGTCAGATGACTACGACTAAAACTAGATTGAAATTTGCCTCCAAAATTAACACTGCTCCCAGTTCATCTGCTCCTATTTCATTGTTTCTTTCTTCTATCTCGTTTCCCCCATTAAATTGCCCGTTCCTCCCATCTCACGAACTCCCATCTCATTACTTCTTCCTTTCATCTCCCTGTCCCCCACTTTTTTTACTCTTCATACCCTGGTGCAGGGCTTCCAAAACTTTTATGGACCAAGACCCACTTTTGAAAACTGTAATTTTTTTCAAGACCCACTTGCTTTTAATGCATATTTTAAAAATTAACACGATGACAATCCGCTTTAGAGGCATACAATTGGCACACCATGGCAATCAGTTTTAGAAGCATACAATTGACACACCATGGCAATCAGCTTTAAAAACATACAATTGGGACACCATGGCAATCAGCTTTAGATGCAAACAATTGGCACACCATGGCCATCGGTTTTAGAGGCCTAAAATTGGCACATCATGGCAACTTTAGGTGCATAAAATTGGCACACCATGGCAATCAGTTTTAGATGCATCAACTTGTTACATGATGGCAACTTTAGGTGCATAATATTTGCACACTTTAGCAACCGGCCTTAGATGCATACAATTGGCACACCAGGGCAATCAGCTTTAAATGCATAAACTTGGCACATTATGGCAAGCAGATTTAGATGCATGAACTTGGCACATCACGGCAATCAGCTTTAGAGGCATGCAATTGGCACACCATGGCAAACAGTCTTAGCTGTATAAAATTGGCACACCATGGCAAAGAGACTTAGATGTGTAAAATTGGCACACCATGGCAGTTTTAGAGGCATAGTTTGGCATATCATGGCAGTTTTAGAGGCATAATGCTGGGAAATCATGGCAGTTTTAGAGCAATAATTTTGGCATATCATGGCCGTTTTAGAGGCATAATTTTGGGTATCATGGCAGTTTTAGAAGCAGAAACTTGGCACAATCTGTTTTAGAGGCATACAACGTATGTATATGTGTTTGAATGTAAGCATGTTTGTTTTTTAATGCAAGTGCGCATTTGTGTGCAGTGTATACACTTCCACACACAAACAGAGATACACACTGACTCACATGAAAATACACAGACACAAATACGCACACTGACACACTGATACACACAGACATACACACAATGACCCCTAGTTTCCCACACACAGATACACAGACACTCATGTACACAGATATACACTGATACACAGTACACACAGACACACAAATACACACACACTGACACAAAAGGACACACAGATACACATACATACAGAGACAAGAGGTGAGGGTGACAGTGTGCTGGTGACAGCGTGGGTGGGCAGTGTGGGGGCAGGGTGAGAAAAGGTTACAGCGGGCAGGCAAGGGGGAAAAGGGTTACCGGTGGAGAGAGGGGCTACAGTGGGGGGCAGGGTGAGAAAGGATTACAATGGGGCATGGTGAGGAATGGATACAGTGGGGGGCTCAGGGTGAGAAGTCGATACAGTGGGTGGGGCAGGGTGAGAAGGGGTTACAGTGTGGGGAGGGGACAGGAAGAGAAGGTGTTACAGGGTGGAGGGGGGTAGCAAGAGAGGGGTTACAGTGTGGGGAGGGGGCATGGAGAGAAGGGGTTACAGTGTGGGGAGAGGAGCAGTGAGAGAAGGGGTTACAGTACAGCAGGGAGAGAAAGGGGTTACAGTGTGGGGAGATGACATTGTGAATGGGGATTACAGTATGGGGAGGGGGCAGAAAGAGAAGGAGTTACAGTGTGGGGGGCATGGAGAGAAGGGGTTACAGTGTGGGGGACAGGAAGAGAAGGGTTATAGTGTTGGAGGCAGGGAGAGAAGGGGTACTGTGTGAGGGGCAGGCGGAGAAGGGGTGCAGTGTGGGGGGCAGGAATAGAAGGGGTTACAGTGTGGGGGGCAAATAGAAGGGGTACATTGTGGGGGGGCAGGAAGAGAAGGTGTTACAGTGTGGGTAGGGGGCAGGAAGAGAAGGGGTTACATTGTGGGGGGTGCAGGGTGTGGGGGTTGTGTCCTACCTTTATTAAATTCCCTGGTGGATCGGTGGGTTAACGCCCCGGTCTGCAGCTCCGCCGGGTGCAGAGCTGCAGTCTGCAGACCATGTGATAGAAGTCTTAACACTCTGCCGTGTTAACACTCTTGGTGCTCATGAGACTTCTATCACACGGTCTGCAGCTCTGCACCCAGCGGAGCTGCAGACTGTAGGTGCTGTGCAGACTGATTGAAGGAAGCCCAGCAGCATAGAAAGCAAGCCGCAGTGCTCCCTCCTGGTGTTGGGCCCGCGGTCATGGACTGAGGGCACGACTAATCAGTCTGCATGAAGGTCTCTTAGGTCCCAGGCAGCCCTGGAGGTGTGGGTCAGCATGACCCACTGGGAATCGACCTGCGACCCACACTTTGGGAAACCCTACCCTGGTGGGTACTGTGTAGGAGCAGAGTTAGCATTAAGCTGCTCTTTTACCACAGGCTGCTGTCACAGCTCCCTCACTCCATGAAGCTTCGGTTGATGGAGGAGGCAGGGATATGACATCATCCTGTCTTCCATCAACTAGTGCCTCACATGGTCATGCAATGGTAAACTGAAAGCACCATGGGTTTAAAAAAAGCAAGGAATACATGCCACACCTGAAGTGATACCTCTCATGACTGAATGTTCTGAAACTCTACATTAGTTCTGGAATTTCAGTAAAGAAGTTGAAACACAGCTTCCTCCCCAGCTGTCCACACCACAGATTCTGACCTAGCAATAGAACAATGCCAAAATTACACATGGTGTTTTTCAGGAGCTCATTCTGGACTCCAGTCAGGGTCAGTCCCTCCTCCCCAACAAAGCTCCTGGCACAGAGTTTCTCAAGTGAAATATCTTAGTATTTAATAGAAACATCTCTGGATGTTTATTGGTCAGCAACTGGCTCAAAGCCAAATAGGTCAATATTGTTTTTTATTGGTACCTGGCTCAGAAACGTTACTAATTAGGATAAAAACAAAATGAATAATTCACAATTTGCACCTGAGTTCAGTTTAGTGTATACCCAAGGTGGTAACTGACTTGTATAAAGTCCAAAATAGAACTCAATATATTCAAGACTTATTAACGTACATCTGTCTCAGAATTGTGTCCCATGGTGCTAGAATCCCCTGACCAGAGTTTTTCCACTGCTTAGTTCTTGTTCTGCATAGCTACCTAACTAAAGGAAAATGCATAAATAGTGATGATAAAAAAGAGCTGGGTGCTAGCCATCTTTACTATGTGTCATGTCAGTGATAAATGCCATCTACTGTGTGATGGTAAGGTCTTTTTTGGCGTTAATGATTCATGGTCAATGATGCATGAGCCAAGAATGGAAATGGGTATTATAATCTACTTATTTCTCTCAGTGGCGTACACATAACCCATGGGGCCCCGGTGCAAAACGGATTCATGCCCCCCTCCCCCCCAACAGACAAACACACACATACATACAGAGACACACACAGACAGAGACACACACACACAGACAGATACATACAGACACGACACATAAATACAAAGACAAACATACAAACAGAAAGACAAGCACACATACATACAGACAAGAGACACGTACATACAAACAAACAGAAACACACATACATACAGACACTTACACAGACAGACACACACACACATATACACAAGACACACATACATACATAAAAACAGACAGGCACACACACATACATACAGACACAGACAAACAGACACACACACACATATGACAAACATACATACAAAGACACATACAAATAGACAGGCACACATACATACAGACAAGAGACACATACATACAGACAAACAAACAGACAGACAGTCACACATACATACAGACAGACACACACATACAAAGACACATACATACATAAAAACAGACCAGCACACATACATACATACATACAGACAGATAGACACAGACACATACAGACAGACACACACATACATACATACAGACAGACAAACACACACAAACAAGACACACATACATACAAAGACACATACATACAAACAGATAGACAGACATATACAGACAGACACACACACACGCACAAGACATACATACAAAGACCCATATATACAAACAGACAGGCACACATACATACAGACAGATAGACACAGACACATACATACAAACAAACACACATAATATTTAAGTCACCCTCCTGTTTCCTACCTTTACATGCAGGAGGGTGACTTTCCCTGGGGTCCAGTGGTGGCTCAGGTTGATGGGAGTCAGAGTTCCCACTCTGACTCCCTGTTCTTCCTCCCGCGTGGGCTCTGTGTGTTAGCTGGGAGGAGTGACGTGCAGTCACTTCTTTCCAGTTTGTGATCTCATCACAGGGGGCCCAGTCGCACTGTTAAAGCGCCCAGTGCTGACCGAGCCCCCTGACAATCCATCTCCATCGGGTGGCCCTGACAGCATAGGTCACCCGATGGGCACCTTAACACAGGCCGGGGCTGCAAATGATGATGATGGGCACCCGGTCACATGGGTCTGCAGGGCGGTTGGGCCCCCTGGAATGACGGCCCCGGTCGCAGCTGCGAACCCTGCGACCGCCGTATGTACGCCATTGATTTCTCTTATAAATCACAGTTTAATAATGAGTTTTGAACATCAGATTACTGTGTTTACTGTAAATCTGATCATTGTCAAATTAAAATCAAACCTAATTTTGGCAAGACATCACACCAGAATGTTTCTCCATCCAAAATGTGACTCCACTAACACTAGTGGACATAGTGACATGGCATCATTACTGCAAATTGATAAATTATGAAATCAGTATAATCACATATACATTTCACAGAGTTTAAGACACCAACTTTGTATCTAATACTTAACAAAAGCACATGTATTATTAATAAAAGCACATGTAGAATCTCCCACGTGATTTGGTGTACTTTACCAACAAGAAAAATGCCCTAATATAGAAACTGTGACAACAAATCCCACCTTTCCCATTTCCCTTTGACTTATGCTAGAGCCTGTGATCTGGAATATTAATATGCTTTGCGAGTGCCTCATCAGCACTTTCCCTCATTCATGTAGAACAGACAGTAAGGGTGTGGTACATGTCTTATTCACGTACTAATTTGTTAAAGTGAACACACCTTTAATTGCTTCTCTGGCAGAGGGCATAGCATTACGTATCAGAAACCACAATGCTCATTTAACTGCTGGACTTATATTTGACATGTAGAACAATTTTAGAATAGTCTTCTGCCATATAACTACTTTATCTAGAGAGATATATTATGAATACATACATTCAGTCCTGCATTAAAACAATATAGGGGGTAATTTTAACAAAGACAGTATTTGCAGTAACACATTTCTCCTGAATTTTTCTGAGCAATTAAAGCATTTTTATAAGCTCAGGTTTTTAATAAATTCAATTAACATTCATCCAAATGTAGCAATGTAGCTCCTAATTGAGTTTGTTCCAAAGTGAAGCTTCTGTAAATTGCTCCGATTTGTATTACTGAATGTGTTCTGGATGTGGCCCAAAAATCTTTCCATTAACCTATTTCTGTTCGGTTTGATTCCATTGCAAAGATCCAAGCAAGTTGTAGGGGTTGAACCAAATTGCTCCTTCGCTCCCGGCCATCCAAGTCCCACAAAGGGACCAGGGTCATCAATGAAGTATTCTAAAAGAATACAAAGAACTGAAATGTTTAAATTTTTGTTTAATCATAGCTTTTCTGTCACTGTCTAAAGTTTGTATTGAAGGCTCCCAATACTGGAAGTCCTTTGATACTTTGCATTCCCTATACTGGAAAGCCTCAATCAGGTCCATCATAAATACATGGGACAGCATAGCTTGGTGGCAGTTGGTGTTGTGCCAAAGTTGACTTGCTGACTGAGATACATGCATGCAGAATGGTTTTCCTTTGACATTTTACCATCACTTTTTCAATGAGAAATACTGATATACAAAGGCACACAGTGTGTCTGTATGTGTATGTATCTGTATCTCCTTATGCGTGTGTGTGTGTGTGTGTCTGAATATGTGTGTGTGTCTGTTTCAGTATGTGTGTGTCAGTATGCCTGTATGTGTGTAATTCTGTTTCAGTATTTGTGTATCTTTTTTTGTGTGTGTCTGTGTCCTTTTGTGTCTGTGTGTGTGTGTATTCCTTTGGAGGCGGGGCTTGGAGGCGGGCACCCGGGGGCCCAAACCTTGAGCTGTGTTAGGGGCCCCAAAATTTCTGATGGTGGCCCTGCACATACATATTTTAAACAGCATTATGCATATTGCTTTTTTTTAGTTCTGTAATGATGCTGAAGCCACATAAGATGTCTTGACATATAACACATCCTGCTAGGCAAGATTGTTTACAGATTGCTTATAGCGTATAAAAGTGCATAAGAAAAACTGCTCAACTAATCGAACTATGTGGCTATCAGATAAGCTGTCGTTAAGAAAAATACACCATTGCTGAAATAATTTTAAAGTGCTTTTGAACAATTAATAAACAAACAAAATGCATAGCAGGGCTTATTAATTGGTTTTGAATTAGAGGGTCAAGTATTAAAGCTAATTTACAATAACATAACTGTAAATAGAGTGTTTGTCAATTGTTGTCAATGCTAAAGAGAAAATGAGGACACACCCTCTGTATTTCAGAAATTCAGAGTTTGGACAAAATTCAGAGTTTGGCAATTCTCATATTTACTAGAGACACTTTATGGTCAGCGGTTGAGGGCTACTTTTTAAAATTAATGAGGGGACTCATTTCTCCCCCAGCACCCACACATGGGCAGCGAGTGGGGGATGTTCGTTCAATAATACATTGGGGTCATAATAACCCTCAGCCGCCACCCATAGGTGGCGGATGGAGCTATTAATGTAGCAACCATGGAGACATAATGTCTTCCCTAGCCCCCACCAATGAGTGGCAGATTAATCTACTAATAAAATACCATTATCCACCCAGCCAACAATTTTTCCTAGTGTACACCCACCCCCCACCACAATGGCTATGACATCAGATTCATAAAATGTGTCAGCGCTATATATGATAGCCTTACAATAGGCCATCGGTGTAAATGTGAAAACCAAAAACTTATAACTGTGAATTAGTAATGTATATATCAAACTCTACATATCACAATAAGTTTGATTATGCACAGAAAAAATATATATAAAACTTGCTTAAGAGTCCAAAAGTTCTGGGTAAAAGTCTTTAAAGGGTTAATCTTGTCTTGCAGCAGATATGTAGCATCTGTAGATACACTGTAGCTCAATGTAGATTGCACCTTGAAAGGATACAAAAAAACTTTCCATAGTATAATACTGCTTTCATTTGTGTAAAAAGATTCCCTTACCCCCAAATAAAAACCCTTGACCCTTGATCAGATACCTATGACATCAGAGAGCTCTACTGAGTTTTAAAAGCATGGGGATAGCGAGCCACCATGGGAATGTTTGGGGGTGGACATTGGAAAATCAGTGAATCGTAATGAATGCAAGTTGCACTGGCAAACACATCTAATCAATAGAAATTTGAAATTCTTTGGATGATGAGGGTCCAACTGTTACTGTTACTTTCCAACCTGTTTCTGTCGGCTATTGGCACTATCTTCAACATCCCTCTGTTCTGTTTAAGGATGGTGGTAGTAGTGGAGGAGGTACCATTGGTAGGTTCTCACAACTGCACAGAATCGAATACAGCTCCAGTAGACCTGCTGATAGCCCTAATACATTCCTCTTCTGCTTCTTCCCTAAGTAATAGAGACTTAAAATGTCTTTGCAGATTTTACTTTACACCAGCACTAATGAGATGACCCACCACTTTCTTGTCTCACAATTTACTCTTTGCAAGTACACCTTCCTGGAGGCACTCAAAGTGATCAGAAACTATGGTTTGTTGGCACAATACAGTAACCTTAACTCTTTGATTTGCTCTCCTGAAGATGTTGGTGGATTTCCATTGGAGGCAGTGGAAGCTGTTGCTGTTGTACAACAGCACTTGCTTGATAAATGCTAATGGAAATGTTGATGATGGTGGTACTGGTCATGTTGATCGGTGGTGGTACTGGTGATGGTAACAATGACAGTAGGTGACATACTTCTCCCACTGGTAGCAGGTGCAACTGAAGTTATGACTGTCTTTATTGGATAAGGCAAAACTGTTACAGATGGACTTGGAGATTGTGAAGAAGACGCACACTCACTGATCGAGAAAATATTTGGCTGCTGTCTGTCCTCTCCATGCTTTTGTCTTCTAATTCCTCTTGCTTGGTTCATCATACTCATAGTCGAGTAGCTCCTGGGCCAGAGATAAAAGTGCTATGTCTGCAGGGAAAACAGAATTATTATCATATCAAGGCCAGTCAATGTGTAAATTACTGATTTGAAGCTGGTACTTAGTAGTTGTTGGTAGCAGTAGACACAGCACTAACCTTAAAGGACCACTATAGTGCCAGGAAAACATACTTGTTTTCCTGGCACTATAGTGCCCTGAGGGTGCCCCCACCCTCAGGGTTCCCCTCCCGCCCGGCTCTGGAAAGGGGAAAGGGGTTTAAACTTACCTTTTTCCAGCGCTGGGCGGAGAGCTCTCCTCCTTCTCTCCTCCTCCGATCCGCCCCGTCGGCTGAATGCGCAAGCGCAGCAAGAGCTGCGCGCACATTCAGCCGGTCACATAGGAAAGCATTCTCAATGCTTTCCTATGGACGCTGGCGTGCTCTTACTGTGAAAATCACAGTGAGAAGCACGCAAGCGCCTCTAGCGGCTGTCTCTGAAACTGCTATGTTTATGAAAAAATGGGTTAACCCTAGAAGGACCTGGCATCCAGACCACTTCATTAAGCTGAAGTGGTCTGGGTGCCTAGAGTGGTCCTTTAACCACAAGTCTCACACTAGGATATTTGAAACAGGTGTCTCTCATTTAATGTTTGGGTGACTGCCACTGTGGAAAGAGAAAAATTTCCCCCATCTTAGTGAACAACCCTCTCCCCCAAAAAAGGATTTCCATTTATGTCAAACTGTAAATTGGTGATTCCAAGTTAAGTGGCAGTGGCTAGCAGTAGGCACAGAGCGAACCATAACCAGCAGTCTCACACTAAGATGAATACAACAGACTAGTTTCCACTCAAAGTTTGTGTGTGTGCCACACTTTCCTCAAAATAGGATTTTCTTTCTTCAAACAGTAAACAAAAAGGTTTGTCAAAATGTAAATTGGTGATTGCAAGTTAGTGTTAAGTGGCAGTGACTAACAGTAGGCACAGCACTAACCTAAGCAGTCTTACAAATGAAAGGCTCCCATTAAATATGGTTTTAGGTGCCACTGGCAATAGCTAACTAGTTAGATAAAGCAGCAACCTAAAACTATTCTCTCACTAGAATTAATGACATTGACTCCCTCTCCCACACACCCACATATGAACAGCAATACACAACACAATACACAAATACTGATGGCCTATCTCCCTCAATTGCTGTGTAAAAGTGTCTTCTAGAAAAGTCCTGCTTGAAATTATAAATTGTTTTACTACTCCTAATTTTCCCTCTTCTGGTCAGTTGCACTTGATCTGTGTATAAAATCAACATTTTGTGTCTGTTCCCTAACAATCAATTATCTTTTTTCCCACTTATTGATTGAACAGGAGATACAGCCCACAAGATTGAGCAGACCCTGTGTATCATGGCAAACTAAGCTGTTTATTTGCCCCCAGGAATGGGTGCAAATTTGGCACTTATTTGGCGCCAGGAATGTGCGCCCATTGCGTGAGTCCTTTTTTTCCTGAAAATGTCATATGGTGAATCAGAGTTACGAGATAGAGAGAGAGAAAGAGAGAGAGAGAGAGAGACAACAACCAGACATTTAAAACATGATAGCTTTATTTCTTTGGTGAAGTATCCATCAGGTATTAAACTAGCAAGTGTCATCGTGGAGGTGCCTTCCTCATGATGTACAGTCATAGCCACAAATTTTAAATTAAGATATTTTTGAGGATGAGTGATACCCACTAAAGGCATACACTGATCAGCCAAAACATTGAAACCACTGACAGGTGAAGTGAATAACATT